ATGTAGGAGAGTAGGCACTTTGCTCCCTTGATAGCCAAGCTCTTTTTCAAGAAGATCTCCTCGCAAACTCAAGAAATGTGGTGGAGGAAGCTGAATGAGATGAGGAAGAAGAAGTTGAAGAAGTTGAAGGAGATGGAGTTTTGGAGGAGTAGAAGAAGTTTTCTCTTCTTTGCTTGAGCTCCTCTCCACATTTGCCCTTCTTTGAATCTCCTCTCTAGCTCTCCACCGCCAAAAGGAAGAAGAAGCAACCCTCTCCTCTCCCAAAAAAAAACTTCTCATTGCTCAAAGTGGCATTGAAGAAACACCGACTTTCCAAGTATGTTGTTATGTGGCATAGAATCCCATCCTACTCATGCGCTTAAGTGCCTAATAATGCACTTATTTTCCATGTTTTTTTATTTTTATGTTTCATGAAAGATGGGATTATCATCTTCAAGAACCAAGGCACCAGGCTAGACGTCCAGGTGTTTGGGATCAAGCGCCAACTTTCCAAGGTCAAGTGCTGAGTTTCTATTTGCTCTATATTTTGGTCTTTTTTTACAAATTTGGAAGTTTATTCAGCTATCTAGACATTTGGAGAGAGCGCCGAGTTTCTTGGACTCAGACTTAGCATAAATTTACTCCATGTGCCTCCCCTTGCTAGCTTTCAACCTGCAAATGGAGAGAGCGCCGAGTTTCTTGAACTCAGACTTAGCATAAATTTACTCCATGTTCCTCCCCTTGCTAGCTTTCAACCTGCAAACTAAAAAAATCAACGAATGTACCTTTAAAAAGCATAAATTTAACATAAAATTTGAGAAAATATAAGAAATATTACCACACATTTTTTTCACATTAAATTCCCTCAAACTTAAACATTACATGAACTCAAGTAATTTAATATCTAAAGTTAAAATTTTTTATAATTTATGGTAGATTGAGGGTTATGATTGTATTGTTCTTTAGTAGTGTAGTATATAAATAATTCATGGAGCACAACCCTCTTTTTAACATTGAATTTTCGTAGAAACCCAAATATCCCAACATAGCCTATATTAATAATCTTTCTATATAAGTATCTCAGTGGTACGAGAGATGGTGGCGTTCCAGTGAAGCTCTGACAAGTTAGCTCCACTTCTCCAAATAATGATGAAGCTCTCTTCTAGAAGGAGAGTCCAGTGAGATTCTGGCAAAGTTAGGAGGTTTAATGAAGTTTTGACGAAGCTCGGGTGATTCTTCCACTAGTTGAGATGAAGCTATCCTTTAATGTAGGAGAGTAGGCACTTTTCTCCCTTGCTAGCCAAGCTCTTTTTCAAGAAGATCTCCTCGCAAACTCAAGAAAGGTTGTGGAGGGAGCTGAATGAGATGAAGAAGAAGAATTTGAAGAAGATGAAGGAGATGGAGTTTTGAAGGATTAGAAGAAGTTTTCTCTTTTTTGCTTGAGCTCCTCTCCACATTTGCCCTTCTCTGAAGCTCCTCTCTAGCTCTCCACCGCCAAAAGGAAAAAGAAGCAGCCCTCTCCTCTCCCCAAAAAAATGTTGCCCGTTGCTTAAAGTGACATCTAAGACTTAATCATTCATTTATCTCTCCCATTAAGCATGTTTCCACATGGACCAAAAAATCTTACAATTTTGGCTACCTAGGCAGGTGTGTTTGGGTCAAAATGGCTTACAAATTTTGAGGATTTTCACTTCTTTGAAGGGCACCGACTAATAGACGCTACAACTTTGGTGTCTAGGCGCCACAGGTCGTGCCTAGTTTCCTGTCTCTCAGGAAAAGACTATTATTTAAAAATTTTGGGCATCTTGGCACCCAGGTCCAGCAACTAGGTGCCTGAAACTGGTGGCAGACTTCCATGGGCTAAGTTTGGAGGCCCCAAAGGTTGTTTTAGGCATCGTTTTGGCCCAAAAATGCTCATTTTCACATAAAGAATCCGGTTGAGGGCTTCTTTGATCCATGAGCTAAGGGAGACCAAGCATGACTGAAATATATCCCCTTAACTTCATAAATATGTATTTTTATCGATTATTTATTTGGGAAACGATAGTTAACAGTCGTCTCAGACCACGGTGCAGGTAGGGTGTTTCAAACCATAATTTTTTTTCAGGTGGTGTGTTTCTAACCTGATAAGATTGAGGTGATGATCTCTCTCGAACTTCTGGAGGCTCCCTTCATTGTTCAACATAATGAAAATTATTGTTCGTTGTACGGAACCCATTATTTTCCATTATGATTTGTTATTCAGTTGTCTACACCTTGTTGATTAGTGATTAGACTATTGTTTTCAGTTTAAACAATTGTTAAAGTCACCCCACCTATTGCCCCACCACATAATTTTCTTTCAAAAGCCATCCATCACCTCCACCTATTATTTACTACTAGAAATAACATTTTTCTACTTCTGATTCATTGTACTATTGCAATGCACATTTGTTTTCAATCACTGTAATTCTCCTTGCTAACGTAATAATTCCTATATGTTTCCTACATTCTTTACACTTTATCACACCGTATAGGAACCCTAGAACAGTGATAACAAATTCTCCTTCCATTTGAGAAGTTATAAGTTATAAATCAGTATAAATAATTATACCTTAAATTTCATATCAATGATAAGCCTTAATCTAATAATGAGACCTTCCTATTCAGTGACATTTATTCATTAGAAGAAATTTCAAGCAAAGCGAACATTCTAAAATCACTTACTTGGGAGAAATAAGCAAGATTCTGGCTCCAACACTTTTTCCAGAGGCCTTACCGACGTATAGCGTCAATTAGAGGGGGGGGGAGGGGGTGGGGGGGTCGATAATAGTTGGAACTATGAATTCAACCATAAAATTAGCAAGCACTTGTGACTTAGTAGTAGGTCTCGGCAATAAATAAATGTCAAACTCTTCTATGAGTGAAGAAAATTAAGTGCATGTTTGGCCTTTAAAAGTAGGATAAAAATTTGACAAAATATCACGTTATAAGCTCATGGCATGTTCATGATGATTCTATAATGATCAATGTATTCATATGGCTTAGACTTCACATCATAAGAATAAATGTTTGGAGGCTTGAACCCTATTGGAATAGAGTTTTGAAGGATGAAATTAGTCAAAGAAGAAGAATTTTGGTAACTACATTGAGTAGAAAATATATTTTTATTCCTTCAAGGAAACACTTCTTGCACTAGACATTTTAACTTGTCAAAAATTAGATGAGGTTAAGTTATGTTATCCATATATATTGAAATTTGGTGTATGGAGGGGGTGTTGAACATGTACCGCCAAGAAAGGAATTTTTGAGGTAATTGTACTCTTCAGTATGCACTAAAATCAGTTGTCATCGAGCCTCACATAAAAGTTGGAGGATCTCATTTTAAGAATTCTTCATTCTTTGTACATGATCTTCACGAGGTGCAAAGGATGTTCCTCCACTAGTTGAGTGATACTTATAATGGGAAAACAAAGTGGAAACTCGGTGCCCGGACTTTGAGACTGTGCCTTGGAATGAAAATTATTAGAGCAAGAACCTCATGTATTTTCTTTGTTGGTTATTGAAGAAATATAGACTTCTATATACACGACTTTGTTTCTTACTAACGACATCAAACTGCGGCATGCCAGAAAATTTGCAAAGGTAGATGATAATTTAACGTCTTAGCATTACATGAAGATCCAATACACATAGATAAAAAAATAAGCTAGATGAGACACTAAGTTTTTAAAGTGAAAGAAATCCTTAAAGGGAAAAAATCATGGGGCCAAACCCATTTAAAATAATCTACTATTTGTTTGTAAGTACAAGGGTGTCCATTCTTGCATAACAAAGAGAAAGGAGGTTACAATCTTAAACCAAGAATTACACTTGCCTTTATACAACACAATTTATGGCCGACAATGGCAGGCGGTGACGGCATTCAGTGGTCAACGGTGACCAACGGTGATCAACAGTGGCCAATAGGTGATGATCAATGGTGGTTGACTATTACGGAGGCCAGTAGTAACTCATCAGGTCTTCTCTCTAAAATGGATCTAGAATTCCACTTTTTTCTTCTTCTCTTTTCTCCTTCTCAAAAGTCAAGAGAGGGGCTTATTTATAGCTTTTTCGAGGAGAGGCATTTTGGTTCTTTGACATATAGCCTCTCTAACCACCTGATTAGATAGTTCATGCTGATTTTCTTGATCATATATGTTTGTTTAAGGATTTGTGTGTCTTAATGACCTTGTAATTTACCGTTCTTGGGCTTTTTGGATTTTTCTGGTTGAAGTGCTTGGTTTTTATGTTAAATTTGAAGTTAATTTGATCATTCAATTGACGATCCAAAACCTATAATTATGCTTCAACAACTTGATCTGGGTTTGATTGGACCCAGATTGAACCAATTCTGACATCATTGGGTTTGTCTTGTCGAGACGATCAAGTTGACTATAAACTTGCTGAAATTGGGGGTCAAATGATCTTAAATTTAAATTTTAAAGATCATTTTAACGAGATTCATGCTTGATAAAAAAAATTATTGAAATGACACCCCTTCTAATCAAATTTTAAGAAAAAACTTGTTTATAATATCCAAGCAAACTTTTTATCAATTTATTTTTATTTATCTTAAAATAAAATAATATTTTCAAAATAAGTTTTTATGCATTACACTTAATTTTAAAATAAATTTAATAACTTCGAAATTTATCCTATTCCTTATTTGGTAACATATCCTCCCTCCACTTCTTCAGAGTCAAATGACTCAAACCCACGTTACTCTTTAAGGTTATTTGACTTTACATGTATATATACATATACATATATATACATAAATATCAAACATCTAATTTTGAATCAAACATACAGAAGAGAATTAGATGTTAGATAGTATTTGATGATATTTTGAATCAAACACGGCCTAAAATAGTCTATATAAATATAATTAGGTGCTAGATATGTAAATAGAAGAGAATCAAATGGCATGCATGTAAACTTCCCATTCAAAGGCAGATCCAGTCAGCTTTTCGGTTCCTATTATATAACCCCAAACCCTCTCCCCCATCCCTCTTTACCCACCCCTCCATCTCTCTGCGAGAGATCATCTCCACAGATCCAGAGAGAGAGTAGGAGGAGGGGGGAGGGAGAGCCACCTCTAAAGCTTTTCCTTCAGGAGATCAATGGGTCCGCCGCAGTTCGGTGACACGACGCAGACGAAGGTCTTCGTCGGCGGCCTTGCTTGGGAAACCCAAAAGGACGTCCTCCGCCACCACTTCGAAAAATACGGCGACATCCTCGAAGCCGTCATCATCTCCGACAAATTCACCGGCCGCTCCAAAGGCTACGGCTTTGTAATTTCTTATTCCTTATTTCTCTATATCTATCTCTTGCTATTGTGATGCAATATCATCATAATACCACCAACCTCGTAATTTCTTATTTTTACATTACCTATTCCTTATTTATCCATATCTATCTCTTGTTATTGTGATGCAATATCATCATAATACCACCAACCTGTATCTTCAGATGTATGTTCAGATTCTGGATGTAAAAATATGCGAATTTGATATTATTTTGGTAGTATTATGATGCAATATCATCAAAATACCAACAAATACTACCAACCTGCATGTTCTGATTCCACATATAATCTCCGCTCTCCTAAAATAATTTTGTGTGTGTGGATATGTGTGGATTTTGTGAAATTTGGTAATATTATGATGGTATTGTGATGGAAATACCATCAATTCGCATGTGTGGACTCTGCATGTAATTTTCGCTTCTCTTTACTTATTGTCGAGGATCTTGACCACAGGTGACGTTTAAGGATGCGGAAGCGGCGAGGAAGGCCTGTGAGGACCCGACGCCTGTGATCAATGGCCGTCGGGCTAACTGTAACCTGGCTTCTCTCGGGGCACGTCGGCCGGGCGGCAAGATCTCGCCGCCGGCAACACCGGCTCCGCCGCAGCTGAACAAGGGTTAATTCTCTTTGTTGCTCGGTTCTTGGTTGTTTTATTACGAGGCATGCTACTTTGGTTATTGATTTTGTTTTCATGTTTGGTGATTTTGTGAGGAAAGTCGCGTTTGGGGGAACAGGAGGAGGATTGCCAACACGGGGAGGGACGACGTTTAACGCAGCGTGGTATTATGCGGGCGCACCTACGCAGGCGGTGCCTCCCCATTTCTACCACCAATACGCGGGAGGAGTTCCCTTCTATGCGGCCTCCGGAGGCTTTGGGTAATCTCTCCCTCCCTCTCTCTCTCTCTCTCTCTCTC